CTTTCTGTGCCAATTCCACAGCATACCTACATGTGCATGCACATATGGGGGAGGGCAAAAGTAGGTTTACAGTTCTGAATACAAGAAATGGAGTTTATTCATTATTTATTTATTGTTGTATTATTTATTTGTAGTACTTATAAACCTACTTTCCCCCATCTTTCTGTATGTTTGAGGTGGGTGGAGCATGGGCACAGTGAAGCAGAATTTATTAGCTCTGCTATACTTCTCATACTCTCATTAGAGAGTTGAGTACTGTAATTTATTAGGACATACCTTCATAAGGTAAAGATGGGGTTTTGAAAACCAAAAGGAAATTGTGACATCCGAGGGAAGCAAGAGTGAGAAGCTATTACAAATCCTGGGCCTGAAGGACCAGGAGGAGGCAACTAGAACTTGGAGAGGGTAGCTGTGTATAGAAGGCCACCAGGCAGCACCCATGGACTTAGGCATAAGAGGTTGAGGAAGCGATGGGACTAAATGTTTCAAGGTCATTCTCGACCCACCTTCTGATTTCCCGTTACTGTATTAAAAAAAATACAGGCAAACCTCCCCATGGGAATACCCTTAATGTAATCACATCTACAAAGTCAATGTAAGGTAACAGATTGGGGACTAGGACATGGACATCTTTGTGGACCCATTATTCTACCTACCATATAAAGTTCAAGTAAAACTAATGTGAGGCAGTGATAAAAGCTTGGCTAAACTTGGAGATGACAAGTTTATAAGGGTACCAATCTGCTTAGTTGTGTGGTTGCCATCATGCAAATAGAATCCTGCAATCTGCCTTTTTATTTGCAAACTCCTATGGTGATATTCAGAACGTGCTGCCCTCCTGGAGCCCTTGATACATGCGAGCTAAAGGACACCTTGTGCGGGAGATTGAACTGGTCCTGGTACTTCCATGGCACACAGAGTTAGAGTTGTTTTAGGTTTTGTGAAGAGGTCTTGCTTATGCAATAAGTGCTATTTTACTTTGTTAATTATCAATACATTCTTATGAATAGATTTCACAAAGCTATGGTGTCCATGCCTCAATTCTGTTATTTGCCAAGAATATAGAGTTGGCAAATCTGTCCAATCTTCACTGGACAAAATCATAGAGTGGCTGCTACATTGGTTGAGTGATATGCAAGCTTAGAAGGGACAGTTGACTTCATTCAATCACAATAAGATTACCCCCAAAATATAGAAAACAAAGAAACTCTGGGTTATTCCCAGCAGTTTCCTCAAATTTGTCCACTTATACTTGACTGGTGATTCCTTAAACCCTTTATGTCAAGCAACTCTCCTATCCAAGGTGGATAATTTGATTGAGGCAGTAGTGTGGAATTGTCTTTCTCCAGATGAAGCACAGACCAATTATAGAAGCAGAGGAAGAATTACTAGTACTCAATTGCTAGCACTTTAAACATGTGTACTTTATAAACCAGCAGAATTTTAGAGTATCTTTTTGTTCTCTCCCTCATTATAAGTTTCGTGAGACAACACATTTATCTGTTTTGTTCACTAACATGTCTTTTGGGCCTAAACAGGGTCGAACACATGCTGAGTACTGCATAAAAATTTGATGGGGAAAGAAAAAGAATGAAACAGAACTCTACTATTTATTATTATTACTTTACCTTATAAATAAATATGTCCTTAAAAGTTGCAGGTAGAGTTTTTGGACAAACAGAAGAAAGTAAAGCAGAAAATTATAAAATGATATGGATGAAGAAGTTTAAAAAAAAAGTTAAAACACAACTAAAAAAGTTAAAACAAATGAAAAATAGCAAATTGTAGTGAAGTTGTCAACCTTCAGATGGGCGCCTAATCCATGTAAACTAGTGGCATTTTCAGAGACTTTGATATCACAGTTCTATAGAACTCTGAGCGTACTGCAGTTTCTTCTTCCACCACTCAAGTTCTTTTTGTAAATGGATCCCAGTAGAAAATCTAAGATCCCAGTGGGTATACTGTGGCTCCTGAAAAGAGCAGAGTCCAAAAAACTATTTGAGAACTTTGTCTTCCTTCCTTCCTTCCTTCCTTCCTTCCTTTCTTCCTTCCTTCCTTCCTTCCTTCCAGTTCTTTTTGTAAATGGATCCCAGTAGAAAATCTAAGATCCCAGTGTATACTGTGGCTCCTGAAAAGAACGGAGTCCAAAAAACTATTTGAGAACTTTGTAGCTCTATATTTTTTTCAGGCCATTAATTATTTTCTTTCTTTCCTTCCTCCCTTCCTTCCTTCCTCCCTTCCTTCCTTCCTCCCTTCCTTCCTTCCTTCCTTTCTTCCTTCCTTCCTTTCTTCCTTTTGTTAATCTTCACCTAAGGATATTTCTCCATTGATTTTAGGAGAGAGGGGAAGGAAAAGGGAGAAACACAGAGAGGGAAACATCCACATTGATTGGTTGCCTCCTGCATGTGCCCTGGGGATTGAGCCTGCAACCAAGGTACATGTTCTTGACTGGAATTGAACCCGGGGCCCTTCAGTCAATGGGTTGATGCTCTATCCACGGAGCCAAACTGTTTTCTTTCTTTTGTCCTTGCATTCTACCCCTTCAGTTTCCATCTAAACCAGTCACAGTTTCTTTGGGCCCAGGGTCCTGTGGGTGACACGCTTCAGTGCAGCCTTCACTTCACTATTTCTTAAGCTGTAGATGATGGGGTTCAACATGGGAGTCACCACTGTGTAGGAGAGGGACAGCAGCTTCTTGCTCTCAGGAGAGGTGCTGGACCGAGGTCGGAAGTATGTGAGGATGGCGGTGCTGTAGAAAAGGGAGACAACCAGGAGGTGGGAGGAACAGGTGGAGAAGGCCTTGCGTTTCCCCTCAGCTGAGGGCATCCTGAAGATAGTGGAGAGGATGCGAACATAGGACCCCAGGATCAGCAAGAAAGGGAAGAGGATGAACAGGACTGTGGCTGTC